GGAGCTTTGAGCCTGCTTCCCAGACCGCGCTGTGCCTGGGAACCTCTGGGGAACCCGGGACAAGTCATGCTTTGGGCATCAGGGTCGAGATTCACACTTCTGCCCAAATGCTGGTCGGGGCACACTCCGAGTGGGAGGGGTGGAGAGCTTTGGGGAGTAGAAGTTGGGGCTCTGCTGGTGTGTGGAAGAATCCTCCTGTGAGCCTCTTCCTGCGCTCTGAGCAGAGCCAGGCGCCACGTTCACAAGGTCTGGGGGCTGGAGTGGTTAGAGATGGATGATGAATTATAGATCATTTAAAATTTTCTCTTTGGTTTATCTTAATTTCAAAATTATCCCCAATTAACATGTATTACTTTTGTAAATGGAGAAAAATGGTTTTTTTTTGTTGTTTTTTTTTAAAGAACAAATGTTCTCTTCCTTTGCCTACAACACAATCAGGGTGATATTCAGCAGGAAAGACAGGAATTCTAAGAGACGAAGTGTCACGTGGATCTGGCCTCTCTCCAGGGCTGCATGGAGGGCCGTGGGCTAGACCCAGCCGCCCGAGATTCTGGGGGCTCCTGACCAGGCTAAGCACTGAACCCAGCGTCTCCCCTGCGCCCACACTCCCTGGGAGGAGACCGGCACCTGGGGAACAGTATTAGCGCCACTTTGCAGTAGAAGCGACTAGAAGCTCTTGGAAGCAAGTGAGGTGCCCAAGGCCACCCAGCTTCCCATGGGGGAGATGTGGGGATCAGAGACTGAGGAACCAGCTAGAAGGAAGCCCCTTCCTCCATGGAGGTGTTTTCGGACCACTAGTTAGGGTGGCCTCCGCAGACCAGCCATGGATAACTTCAAAAATGAGCTGGAGCTTTGCCGCCCTGGGGAGGGGGTGGGAGCCACTGTGTGTTTCAGGCGCGGCGCACGAGAGATTAAGAAACCGATGTTGGAAGCCTCTGTGTTTGCCGTGGCTTATCACCCTCGTCCCACAGGCCCCCTCTGGCCCACCGAACCCAGCCAGACAGCCCGCCCCTGCCCCCAACCTCACCATATGCAGGTACCCTCATGCCTCTGCTTGGGGTGTGCCCTCTGAGCCTTCCCTTTTGGGAAGATCCTTCTAGACGCAGCTGCTAGCAGGGATCCTGGGAAGATTTTTCTAGCAATCATCAAGGCAACCTCCCTCAGTTGGGGTCTGCCTGGGCCCACACTTGCCAGCTGTATGAATTGACAGGTTCTTCCCTCTTTGGGACTCAGTTTCCTCATCCGTAAAATAGTGGTAACCATCACGTGAGGCTCTTGGGCAGATTCGACAAGACGATGGAGGTAAAACGAGTAGGGGCTGAATATGGTGGCGTTGTTAGCTGCTCGAAACCTCTGCTGGCATGTGGCATGAGGCCAGGAGTGCACCCTGCACTCTGGCTCTGCTGGGACCCCGCACCCCGTCCCTGGAAAGTGGGGCTCCAGGAGCACAGGCCACACCCAGCACAGCCTTTATGAAGTTGTACACAAGTGAGGTTTGGGGAGCAGGAAGGTTCAGGGAACCCTCTGCTGCCCCTCATGCAAGGGAGGCTGGAGGAGAGGGCCCCCTATTTTTAGAGGCTCAGAGAGATAAAGGGCTTGCCCAAGGTCACACAGCTAATTCTAGAAGTGGGTTCCCAGCTGGTGCCTTGTCTGACCAGGGATCCCCACACTTCAGGACCTGCTCTTCTGTGATCCCTCCACTCTCCCTGCTTCCTTCCCTGACATGCAAGTTGCTTCCCTGGTTGACCTCAGGCTCCACCTGAGCCCCCTCACTGAAGAGGGGGGCCCTGCCTGCCTCTGCTTTTCTGTTCCCTTAGCCAGAAAACACTGTTGGACACCCCAAGTGTGCCAGGCAGAGACGAAAGCAACCCCACCACCCCAGAAGGCCCGTGAACCAGTATTAGGGAAAAGGCAGCAGGATGTTATCAAACGCCCGGCCCGCTGAGCAGATGCATGTGCGGCCCAGAGATGTTGGTTCAGATCCCAGCTGGTCCCCTCACTCGGCCTGGGGTGGTGGGGGGACCTGGGACATGTTACCTCTCCCGCCTCGACTCCCCCACTAAAAGTGGAAGAAAGAACTCTTCCGCCAGGAACGAGCTCAAGCACAGAGGCGCCTGGACCTGGTGGGCATCACCGCTGCCCTGTCTCCCATCCGTGCTAGGCAGGACCAAGTTCTAAGCACACCAAGGAAGAGCCTGGGGGGTACCAGCACAGAGTCTAGAACGCTTGGGGAATCGCAGGGTTTGGAGAAAGGCTTTCCCCAGAGGAGGAGGCAGGCCAGGTTTTGACCCACAGACCTCAGACACGCAGTGCGAGCCCAAGTGGGAGGATGAGAGAGAGTGTGTGTGTGTGTGTGTGTGTGTGTGTGTGTGTGTGTGTGTGTGAGATGTGCCTGCTTGCCCGGTGTGGGGGGCTGGGGCCAGGGAGAGGGTGGGCTGCAGCTATCCCAGCGCGGGCGGCGAGAGCACCACTGGCCAGCCACTGCCTCAACCCCGGACCCTGACTTGGAGGATCGCTGCAGCCAGGCTAGAGCTGGGCGCTTCACACAGCGCTGGCCTGCGCGGCCTGCAGCCCAGGCTTGAAGGAGCCCCTGAAGTTGTAAGGCGCCTTCCAGGACCCCCAGCCAGCCCCAGGAAGGCTGCCCCGCCCCGCCACCTCCTTCCAGTCCAGCCCCCGGGCAGCCTGGGGGAGCGGGCGAGGAGGAGGCTGTGGGCTCACACACAGGAGCCCGCGTGTGAAACGGCTGCCTGGGGACCCTTCCAGCGGCTGACCCTCCCCAAGATGCCGCCCGGGAGCCCCCCATTGTGAACCAGCATGCTTTCCTTCCCTGCTGCACCGCGACTTACAGGGAGAGGCTGGTATGCACCCCGGGGTGCAGGCCACCCTGCCATCCCTCTGGCCTCAGTGTCCCCACACCCGAGGGGAGGGGTAGAGGGAGCAGGCGGCCCAGTGAGCTCCACCCCGCTGGGCCAGGCTGCAGGCGGGGGTCCCCTCCGGGAGCCCAGGTGCCAGCTCTCCAAACAGGCCCGGGAAGTAACTTTCGTTGACTCTGAAATGACGGGGCGCCTCACCCAGGCCCCTCAGGCCACCCGCTGGGGCGGCCCTGCCCGGCTACAGGAATCCAGACAAGGGCCGGTAGGTCCGGCCGAGGGGGCACTAGGACGCGGCTCTCTCCCAGCCCCCCGAACTATGGGCCCCTCCTGTCCTGGGGGCGGTCGGGGTGCCCGCCCCGGGGAGAAGCGAGCGGTGACCGCGGGGACCCTCGCCTGCCGGCCCCCCCACACCCCCGGGCCGGCTTCACCCACCCGCCCCCCGGTCCTCCATCCCCCCCACCTCCGCGCCCCAACACCGACCAGCCCAAGGACCCGGGAGGCCCCACCCTGGGCGAGCTGAACCCCCGCGGGGGGCGGGGCCGGGGGCGGGGCTCCCGCCGCTCCCCGCCCCCCCAGTTTACCGCAGCCCCAGCCGCTCCAGCCGCTCCGTCAATCACCGCCCGTTGCCGGGGAAACGACCTCTCCTTTCCAGGCCACCCCAACCTTCAAAGGGCTTCTCCCCACCACCTGACCCGTCCCCCCACGCGCGCCCCACGTCCTCCCACCCCCGGACTGGCAGGCGGGAATGGGTCCCCAAATAGGAGAGACTGGGGGGACCGAGACGGAGGGGAGACACCCACAGACAGTAGACGCCAAGACAGAGGCGCACACAGGTGGGGAGACACGGCTGCAGACAGAAGGGGGACCCCCCCCAGGACCCGGCCCCCCGCCAGCACCGAGGCGGAGGCTGGGACGGGGCGAGCCTGCAGGGAGGAGCCAGCC